GCACTTTGTGCATCCTGGTGTGTGTATATCTCCATGTATATCTATGTGAATCTTTTGGGTTAAAGGTTATACTGCATCCAAAGTTCTGTAACAGAAAATAATACAACCACTAATTTTTATGATTTCATGCAGATCCAGAATAAAGTTTATTTCATTTAAGTTTATTGTAGTGGGGCGTGTTCTTTCCAGGGCTACATATATAAATATATTTAATAAATAAATTATATATACATTTATTTAGTATATAAATAAATTTTATTGTGTATATAGCACCTTAAAAAGAGGCTTCTTAAAAGCACTTTAAGCACTTTAGAAAACATACACAATGAGAGGAAACAGCAGTATTAAAAAGTTAAAATTATTGTTTGGAATACAGTAGGAAAGCAAAGGGACATACACAAAAACAAGTTTAAAAAAATCCTTCTAAAGAAGAAGGGTTTGAACACAGGGAAGGTGACTTCCTGATATCCTTATTGATAGAATTCCAGAGCATTGGAGCATAGTAGGAGAAGATCCTGTCATACAACATACATGAGCTTGGGGGACAGATAGGAGAACAGAATTAGATGAATGAAGGTTGCAAGGTGGGGAACAGCCTGATAGTAACTCAGACGGGTACAGAGGTGCCAAGCCATGCAGAGCCTAATAGGTGGGCATTAGGATTTTGAAGTTGACACAAAAACTGAGAGGAAGCCAGTGCAAGGACTCCAGAACAGGAGTAATGTGATCACTTGCACTAGACCTGCTCAGGGTTCTGGCTACCAAATTCTGGACATATTGTAGTTTGTTCAATGTAGATTTAGATACTCCAGCGTGTAGGGGGTTACAATAATCAATTCAAGAAAAGTCAAAAGTGTAGCCTGGCAATATTCCTGGGGTGGAAGAATTATATTTTTACAATATGTTGCACATGTGGATCAAACATTAAGCCAAGATCAATTAATACTTCCATGTTCTTCGATTTAGATTTAAATACAAGTACAGTACCATCAACAAATAAGGTTATGGCATTGGCTTTAGACAACTGATGGGATATGCAAGTCTTGTTACAGTTTAAATTAACTAAAGATATGAGTATCATCAGTGTAGAAATGATCTATGACACTATGCTCACTATTGCTGACCTCTCTCTGTCCTACTCAAACTCTCCTGGTCTCTTCTGGGCTCCCAGCAAGCAGAGTGCCACTCACTAGACAGTGATGAAATCTACAAAAAGACCCTTCCTCTACCACAGATTACACTTTCAGAGGGTGTGAAGTCATTTCTAGATCTGGCTCATAACATTATATTACAACACTACAACATTTTATTTCATATTTTCTATTCTGCATTAATGTTTCCATCCATCCATCCATTTTATAACCTCTTATCCAATACAGTGCCACTGGGGAACTGGAGCCTATCTCAGGCAAGCAATGGGCACAAGGCAGGATATACCCTGGACTCATAACACAGACAACACAGCCACAGTGTAACGAATGATACAATAATAATAATAATACAATACATACAATGCAATCAGTACAGTGAGGAGTGCACTAAAAGAGTTACTCACAGTCCAGAACACACAAAGAACAAACTAGAACAGAACAGTACGCAGAAAAATCATATTGCACTTATGAATATAAATATAGATGTAAATATATATATCAATATAAATGTATTGCACGGGTCCCTGGCATATATTGCACAAAAAACTGTTGTTAACGGGAAAAGAAAAAGAACAGATGTAGCAGTTTACTGTTCAGTCCAGAAACAGGTCACTGTTAATGTTGCCTCTGCCCAGACGCAAGGTGGATCTATTGTACAGTCTTATGGCAGAAGGCAAGAATGACCTCCTGTAGCGCCCCCTGATCTCATTTTATAAGCATCAGCCTGACAGTGTGTGGACAGCAGAAGGAGAAACCCTGTTTTTTAAGACACTGGTGTTTGTTTTAATTGATTTCTCATGCATGGCAGAGAGGGAGAGCTGGATGAGATGGACTCGCACCGTGGATGAATCATTCTATTGCTGAACGTGCTCTTCATTTCTACAAGCCTTTCATAGAGGGTATGGGAGACGTTGTCCATGATGGCCTCTAGTTTGGACACCATTCTCCTCTCAGCCACTACCTCCAAGGGGTCCAGGTCCGACCCAGTGACAGAGCTTGCTCTCCTGATGAGCTTGTTCAGCCACTGCTCTAATCCCAGGGCCCCAGCATACCGCTGCGTAGAAAATGGCGCTCGCTACCACCGACTGATAGAACATATGTAGCATTTTGCTACATATATTGAAGGACCTGAGCCTCCTCAAGAAGTAAAGTCGGCTCTGTCCCTTCTTATAGATGGCCTCGATGTTCTTAGACAATTCCAGTCTATCGTTGATGTGCACTCCCAGGTACTTGTACGAGTTCACCATCTCCACGCCACTCCCATGGATGTAGACAGGAGTAGGTTTGACTTTTTTCCTCCTGAAATCTACCACCAGTTCCTTTGTCTTTGTTACATTCAGTTCAAAGTGGTTCTCCCCACACCACTCCACAAAGCTGCTGTCCAGTCCTCGGTACTCCTCCTCCTGCCCACCCTTGATACATCCCACAATTGCAGAGTCATCTGAGAACTTCTGCAGGTGGCATGACTTTGAGTTGTCCTTAAAGTCCGAAGTATAGAGGATGAAGAGGAATGGAGAAAGAACCGTTCCCTGAGGAGCCCCTGTGTTACCCACTACCTGTTCAGACACACAGTTCTGAAGTCTCACAGACTTTGGTCTGCCTGTCAGGTAGTCAGTGATCCACGAGTTCATGGAGGCATCAACTTGCACCACTCTGTTTTGATTTTAGACAGTGCTATAACAAAAGTTGTAGCAAAAAAGAGAATTTATTTTATGAATGTTTCATGACATGTAAAGACAGGGTGTCACGGATGTTGGAAGGGATGAACCGTGGAATGGCAGGAGAGCATAAAAAGACCCTATAATAATAACATCACTTTATTAACCCTTTACAATTTCATGCATTAGGAATTATCTTTTCACATACCCCAACTTGCTCTCCATGAGACACACAGACAGGGAGAGAGCCTGGGGTCAGAGCACAGGGTCTGTCATACAGCACCCCTGGAGCAGTTGGGGTTAAGGGCCTTGCTCAGGGGCCCAACAGAGTAGGATTCCTCTGCCGGCTGCAGGATTTGATCCAGCAACCTTCCAGCCACAGGTGCAGATCCTTAGCCACAGAGCCACCGCTCCACCAAACTGGGAAGTAGGAAGCTGAGTGTGTTTTTTCAGTTTTCTGAGATGTTGAGTGATTGTGTAGCCTGCCCTGAGAGCATCCCTCATTGTATAGACAATACAACAGTGTTTCACACAAGCTCAGAAAATCTAGTACTTGATAAGACTTGATTTACTAGAGTGAACTTTGGTCTGGAAAAAGGGCTGAGCCACTAGAAGGCAGTGCAGAGACATTTCAAATAAGCAAACTTTACATTGTCACAAGGAAATTAACCACATCTGTGGAATCCAATTCCCTATAAAAGTCACTTTGTGTCTGCTCAGACCTTCAGTCTTCTTGATGGTGAGACTGTAAATCTCTGGGTGAGATTTGCTCTAGCAAATTTTAAAGGTTTAAAATATTGCAGTTGAGTTAAAACTGATATTAAGACTTACCTTACTAAGTAACAGCCTCAGTTATTGCTGTGCCAGCCTGCCAGTAAATAAAGGTTGGGTATAGCACACTGGCCTAAACGGGATTGACCAGGTGAGGCATTTCCTACTGCTACTCATTTTTTGGACTTTGGAGTTAAGCATGCATTCATACATGGTTGTATAGGGTAAACAAGTTCAGAATTGTGTAGGCAGTTTTGCTTCAGGGTTGATTTTTTGTCTGCTTAAACCCCCATATAAAGAGAAGGTTTTATGTGTAGGGTTCCTCTGCTATGCTACCAACTAAAGCGGGTCTGTTACAGTTAAAACAACTACCACTCCACCTGAAAATATTTGCTCTAAAAATATCCTCTTAAAGGTCTTTCTAGAGCCTACATCAGAATAAGCTGTCCTAAATTTCTACTTTGATTTATTACAAAGGTACAAGGAGTGCAAAGTACTCCCCTAAAATGTTAAATGAAGCAGCAGTACTATGAGTACTGATTGTTACATGTTGTGACATTTTTGCCTAGTTCGTTGATGCATTTTTGGAATATACAGAGTGATTCCATTCAGTTTTGACATTCATGATGTACAGAAGAAAAGGGGGTTTAGTTTTCTTTAGGATACATTTTTGGTCTATAAGACATTTCATAGTGTTTTCAGATTACAGAGTAGAACATACAGTAGGACATAGGCCTCTGCACAGCATAGACATGTACAATGTAACTGGTGTATGCTGCGTGTTGTATTGATTGTGTTTTTCATTGTTACTCAATACTGTATTTGTATTGTCCAAGTTTGACTGATTTCCTACTATAATCACAGAGCTATTACTGTCGGTCGTGTAAAAAGAACACGTGCCTCACCCTTACCTTGTGCTCAGATTTATTTCCTGAACCTGCTATTTTGTAACATTAGTGTAGTGTAGCAGAAGTGTATTGTGTAGAAAAGCTGGATAAGAATTACTATTTTTAATTTTTGCATAATAACATATTAAAATCCACATATAGTTTGTTTTCTCTGTATTTCAATACTGGTGACAATAGATTTTAGTTACCTAAAACATTTCCTACAGCATTTTCAAAACAACAAAAATTACTTTATCTCTACATAGCATGTAGACCATACAAGCTGAAAAAGAACTAAATTAATGATCAGAAATAAAGAAATGTGAAACTTCTATTACATTTGCACTGCCTGACTCATCCAATCATAGCAGACCAACAAGCTATACTGTAGCATTACCACATTTTTAGGACTTTCCAGAAACATTTTTCCTTGTTCAGAAAAACTCAGCAATGTTGTCAAACTGGATTGTTGCTTGGGGAGAATATATAAGAGGCAGGCAACTTGAGTGTTGTTGCCAGTTCAAGGCTTTAGTCATTACTTTTATAATGAAAAATAATCTATTGTGTTCTTTCAGGAACTTACTGGTGATGTCAGAGGCAACATCTACTTTAACATATAACTAGAGAAAATTAAGAGGATGTCAATGTCCTTATGAAACATAGTCAAGAAGATATAACTATAAATGCAGGGTGGGTCTAGTTATAACTGAAGAAATGGCAGAAAAATACTCTCTTCTAGAAGAAAACATCACTTGTTCTGTGTGCAAGGATATCTACAAGGATCCTATTGTCCTGACATGTAGCCACAGCTTCTGTAAAAACTGTATGGAGAAGTACTGGGAATTGAAGGGATCTCAGGAATGTCCACTTTGCAGGGAGTTTATTAAAACACAACCTCATGCCAGCCTGTGTTTAAGGAATCTGTGTGAGGCCTTCACAAAGGAGAGGAGTCAGAAACCCCCAACAGGGTCTGAAGTGCTCTGCAGTCTGCACAGTGAGAAACTTAAACTTGTTTGTATGGATGATGAAGAGCCTATCTGTGTGGTTTGCCAGACTTCAATAAATCATAAAAACCATGAGCTCCGTCCCTTGGAGGAGGCTTTAAAGGATTTTAAGGTGAGAAATGCAAGTGAAATATAATCATAACAATCCAGGCAATTTGTTGTTTTTTAAGTAGTTTCTTATTTGTATCTTTGTAGCAAGAACCTATTCATTCAAGACCTGTCTTAACAGTAATTCATGTGCCATTTATGATTGACTACAGAACATGGATAAACTGTAAAACATTTTACTACTAGTCTGTATAAGATGTGACAATGTGTGGATCTTGAGCTGAGCCTTTTACTGGCTCTATATCAAATACCTCTGCAAGAGGTATACTGTCTGTTTGAAATCTTTCAATTGGTAATTGTATGGTCCTATTTAGATTGAATGGTGAGCTATAACGCTTGGTAAAATAAATGGTTCTCTGGATCACAGAGAAAACCAAAATGCACCTGAGCTGAGGAGCTGTTGGTGGGGTTCTGTGACAAACAATGGAGCAGCCGCATGAATATCTAATATAGGGTGTTTAGTTAGGAAAAACAAGTATGATTGATTTAGATAATTATTGCAGGTCCACACAGCTGTCAGTGAGGAGAGCGAGAGAGGTGCATTCCCTGTCTTTCTTAGGCCCGCTAATGGGAACTAGTGGAGTCATACAGTAGGTTGAGGAATAAATCTCCACTGTGTCACAAAGGGAAACTAATTTCTGTTGGATTTTAAGAAAACAATGTTAATCTCCACAGCTGTCTTCACTTTTTATCAACTTGCAGGTTCTTTTGAAGCTGGTGAATAGAGGGGTTTGTTTTTAATTAAGGGCTGGAGAGTGAAATTAATTCTTTTATATACAATTAGGGAATTCTGTTTATTCTATCTATCACACCCAGACCATAAACCCATAAGAATGAGATCAAAAGTTGAAACTCACTCATACATTTTATGGGAACAAAGCTCTTGTGATTATTGATGGATGTTTTAGTTTCTAAATACTGTACTGTATATTCTTTAATTTCAGCTCTTATTCTGAATCTGTGAAATTGATATACTTTGATGCAAACTGTCATCCAGTTCTCTGGCAATCAGGACTCATATAACAATTGAGGTGCTGCTGCAACAGAGTCACTTGAAGGGTCTGCAGTAACCTTTTCCTTGAGAGATTTTCCATGTTGTGTGACTCTTCCATTGATAGGAAATTTCTATCCTGAGTTGGCAGTGATGTCTGTTGCCACTCTTTTTCTGGAGTAAAGTGTCGTCTCATTCCAGGAGGATCTCAACACTGCACTGGAGCCCCTACAGAAAAAGCTGGAAACCTTTTGTAAAGTTAAACAGGCATGTAATCAAACTGCAGAGCACATTAAGGTAATATTGCCTTTATAATTTTAATTTCAGAAATACAAATTAAAATATTCAATTAAGAGAAAAGACAAAGACTATGTTTAGAAACTGCTCTGAAACAATCCCTGTAATTAGTCCCTGTAAAAGTTAATCTCCTTAAAAAATCTTAGTTTTTCCCTACAGCTCCTGGAACAGGCACTTATTAAAATATTTTAAAAAGACAAAACACTGAAACTGAACTGAAAACATGACTACAATTTGAAGAGATTGTTCCAAGAATCACAAAGAACCAATACAATTAAACAAATAATAAACACTTTCAATTTCAGATGCAGACCCAACAAACTGAGAGGCAAATAAAGGAGGAATTTGAGAAACTTCAACAGTTTCTACTCAATGAAGAGGCAGCCAGGATAGACGCACTGAGGGAAGAAGAAGAGCAGAAGAGTCAGATAATGAAGGAGAATCTTGAGAGCCTTACAAGAGAGATTTCATCTCTTTCAGACACAATCAGAACCATAAAACAAGAGATGGGAACTGAAGACATTCAATTCCTGCAGGTAAAGATGCAGACTAAATGAGCACATTCATACAATGATACAGTAGCTACTGTTTATATTTTCCTGTCCTTTATCTTAATTTAAGATTCTAATGTAATTTAGCAGTCTGTTCTGCTTCTAGTTTTATACTGGTATCTATGGGGTTTCCTGGATTCTCCTCACTTTCATTGAAGTAACACCAGGACCCTTCTCAGTGTGGGCCGCAATAGTGATAACTTAGTACTTAGTATCTTCATTGACAAGGGGCTAATTTCAAATAATAAGTAAAAGGGAAATTAAAAACAGAATTAATTATTCTGGGATTTTGTTTTCTCATTTTTAATTTGTAATATGCAATTTAATTATAATTTTCTTGTCATATTTTAGCATTTAGTTCTGTATTATACAAGTTATAGAAATTCAATTTAATATTCTGCTTCATAACAAACATTTTATATGCTTCAGACATGCTTCTTGCAACTTATTACCATTGTGTCTTTTACCCTTATATCATGGTCACTAAACAGAACTAACATAACTATTTTATTATGCAGAGAGTTCTTCAGAATTCCCCCAAAACTTCCTGTTTAATGTTCTGGGAATAATTTCTAAGTGGTTGTATTTTTGTTTTTCAGAAATACAAGGAGACAAAGAGCAGGTATGTAGACTTGTCTTCCTCTTTTCAATTGTACTGATTCCAAAGACTACTACCTGACAACATCAATACCAATCAACAGCAATTTCCTGGTTTAAAGGTACTGCAACTCACCATTGTTGTCATATTCAGGACTTTAAATTTAGTTCAAGATGCCAGACTGAAAGTGAACGGAAGAATTCTGTTCAAAATTTGAAGATGAAATCCTTAGACTTGTGAGCCATTTGTTTTGTCATTTGATCAAATAAATTAGTACAGCTGGACCCTTTTGTCATGAGCCTGAATATTACAGCAACACTACAGTAACTCCTGAATATTATTACAGAACCCAGTGCACACTGCTGGATCCAGAAGAGGTTTCAGGAGCACTAATAGATGTTGCCAAGCACCTTGGATCTCTGAAGTACAGAGTCTGGGAGAAGATGCTGGGGATTGTTCAGTACAGTAAGTACAAGGGGGAAGGGGTCACATGTAGAATATGATCTGCTCTAGTTGCTGAGGTCATTCATCCTCCTATCTTTACCATCACACACTTGAAATATTGCCTGGATAAGGACAAAGTTTGGTACAGTAACTCAGTCATCCGTGTGACTTTTTTCTCATCAATATAGTGTTGTTTGGAATTTTTCAGAGATTGTAGGAAAACAGATACACTTAAAAGATTTAAAATTTAATTTCACATTTGTCATTTCATATTCTTATTGTTTTACACTACGGTGCGATTATTAGCTTTACAAATTAATCTATGCTCCTGGGTGTATGGCTCCTGTCTTGAACATATTGTTCCTGTTTGTTAATTTTTCATGTTGCTATTCTTGAGGTCATTACACGCAGTATTAAATTACTCATAACATAATATGTAAAAAATCTTATTATATATTTCTTTGAGTATTGTTAATTTCTCTTGAATTTCTTGTCAGCTCCTGTGACTCTGGATCCTATCACAGCAAATCCTCATCTCTCGTTGTCTGAGGATCTAACCAGTGTGAGATACAGTGCTGAGAAACAGCAGCTTCCTATGAACCTAGAGAGGTTTGATGAGCATTACTGTGTGCTTGGATTTGAGGGATTCACCTCAGGAAGACACTGCTGGGATGTTGAAGTGGGAGACACCACTTACTGGCTCTTAGGTGTGAGCAAAGAGTCCATCAATAGGAAAGGGTTAATGACTCTGAGCCCAGAAAGAGGATTTTGGGCTATATGGCATTGGGAAGGTTCTTACAGTACACTTACCTCACCAGGGATGAGACTCACTTTGAAGAGGAAACCCCAGAAAATCAGAGTGCAGCTGGACTATGAAAGGGGGGAGGTGTCATTCTCTGATCCTAGTGATGGGACTCCCATACATACTTTTAAAGATACATTTACTGAGAGAGTGTTTCCAGTCTTCTCACCTGGTGTTGGCTTTATCCCTTTGCGAATCTGCCCAGTGAAGGTGTCTTTAATGGTGGTGAGTAACATAGGGTGATGAAGGTGAAGATTGGTGCAGAAAAAAACCCTCCTGAAGAGGCAAGGTACTATAAGGTATATTACACTAGGAATTACTGTATGTTTTATTAAGTTTTTAATGTGCTTTCTTTTTCCAGAGAATAGGCCTACAGTTCAGCTGTCTGTGTAAAGCACCAGAAAGGAGACTCTCTGTACAGCAGCATATCTCTAGTCTGCATAAACAGGGTCCGTTCTCAACCTTCCTAATTATGAATAGTCGAACAATGTTCCTCTCAGTTTTCTAATGCAAGAGAGAAAATCTTGAAAAAGATCCTGGAACAGAGATCAGATCATGGTCAATCATCTAAAAGACTACACCTGACATCAATACCAATCAACAACAGTAATTTCCTGGTTTAAAGATACTGCAGCACAACTCAACACTGTTGTCCTAGTCAGGACTTTAAGATTCATTCAAGATATCAGGCTGAAAGTGAGTCCATACGTAAAAAGAATTCTGACTGTGAGCCAATTGTTATGGATTTTAATCAAATAAATACAGCCTGCATATTAGAGCATATACAGTAGTAGTCCTACACCCTGGGGTGAACCATGCTCTCTTCACCCATTGTGATACAACTATATCTGAATCACACTGTTGGGAAGTTCTGCTCACTATTCTAGCCAGGATTTCCATTAAAGAGAAATCTTGAGAATTAAACATTCTTTTTTCTCTTTGTATGATGAAACATCCCTGGGCCAAGCCAGTAGAAGAGGATTGGACATCACTAAGAAAAACCCATACTGATCAGTCTGTCAATTGGAAGAGTAAAAGCTAAATGTTCATATTAAAATTTCAAGAGTTAAACTACCATTCCAAACACTTCTGACAAAAGTCCGTTCCCAAAAGTAAACAAATGTTCAGGTAAAGGTTAATTTAACTCTAAAACGTAAAAATAATATATATTTCAGCTGTAAGGCCATGTTCTGGTGTAACACATTTCTATTTTTTGGCATGGTATTAACCTTTACATGTTCCTTTGCAGCCAATGCATCATCATGCTACCAATTCGAACAGTAATACTTTACAGTTTACTGATATTTCAGAACATGAGAGTTACAAGTTAAAAAATAAATGTCATAATGGTGTTTTAACATATAATGTTTTAATGATATTATTACTATGTTTGTAATCCATTACTTTTATTTTTTCTTTGTATAGAACAGAAAGAGAAAGGCCAGAATAGAATGTGTAGAGTACACAGATTAATAACAACAATTCTGGATCAACGTTATGGCAGAAAAGATTAAGATAAACCTTTATCAAAATGACTGAAAGGCAAAAGTGTGAGAAGGAGAAGAGCAAACAAAGATCCTTAACACACCAACTCAGCTGAGCAGCATGGTGGAGGTAGTGTCATGGCTTGGGCATGTATGACTGGCACTGGAACTGGGTCACTGGTCTTTACCAATGATATAACTGATGATGGCAGCAGCAGAATGAATTCTGAAGTAATGTATTTTCAACAAAATGCCTCCGTACTCATTGAGTGGTAATTCAATGTGCAGTAAGACATTAACCCAAAACATACTGTACTCCAAAGAATCCATCGGGAAAAAAAAGAAAAATTTTTAACTGGTCACCTCAATCTTCTGATTTGAATCCTATTAAACATACATTTTACCTGTTGAAAAGGAAACTAAAGTCAGAAATTCCAGCAAAAAGCTTAAAGTACAAATGCCTGCAGTTAAGGCTTGGTAAAGCATCTTGGAGGAACATATCTAGTGATGTACTGTAAATGGCTCCAACAGTCATTGCATGCAAGAAGTATGGGAAATACTGTACTATTGTTACATTAGTTTATATTAAGTTCATTTATTGCAATAATTTCTGTAAGCTGACCTGGAATTGGGTGTGGATTGAAACATCCAGAAATAAAAACTGACACTCTGTGTCAATGGGAGACACTTTGCCTCATATTCATCTTTTGATCTGAAATAGAAATTTTAATAGTACACAGTAAAATATTACAGAGCGCAAATTTCACTTTAATGTCCCAATACTAATGCTTTTCACAGTACAATATATACAATGTATCAATATTTTTGTTGATTTACTATGCATCTTCAGTTATTGGATTTATAAATTGTATTTTGAATGTGGTGAATCCGTGTACAGAGCCTGCTTACAATTTTGTCTTACTGACTCCTAGAGCACAGCTTATAGCACTCTTGCTGTTTACTGCTACAATTTTTAACTGCGCTAGTAAATTCATAGATCACATCAATAAATAGGTCTTGGCTGTTATGACTCTTAGGACAAACAACATTTTTATGAATATTGATTAATAGATCTATTATTAATGTTATGTGCCCTCTTTTGTGCACATTCTTATTAAACTTTCGTTTTTTAATAAGTTTGTTTTAAATAATGCTATTTACATAATTAATATTTAAATCATAATAATTAAATTATTATTTGGATAGTTCCTTACCAATAGAGAGTGGTCACTTCCAGACTAGTACTAAGTGAAAGGATACAAAGATTGTAAGAGAAAACATCAAAATACATTCTGTAAAACAGCCATTCAAACAATATTCTCATAATTGTGAAAGTATATTAGAAACATTATGCCCCCTAGAGGAACCTCTGACAGTGGACAGTACAGCAGGAAGACAAAAAAAAACGTGTGGTACTAGTTTTTATTTCCACAGATTGAAGAGGAATTTAAACAAGTCATGCTCTCTATGTACTGAAATGGGCATCTCTTTAAAAATTGTAAAATATAAAGCATACATACTAAACATGAATTAGACTATAATTTGACAGGAAGGTGAAACAACCAGCACAATTAAGTGAAAGTGATAATAAATTCTAAGACTTCAGCACAACCTTCAGCCCTGGAAGAGGAGCTCTACTGTTCAGTGTACCGTGAAGTCTTCAAGCATCCAGTTGTTCTAACATGTACAGTAGCCATAGTGTCTGTAAATTCTGTCTGGAGCAGCACTGGGAACAGAAGAAATCGTGGGATTGTCTAGTCTGCTGGAATAGATCTACCAGCCTCCTCTCAGCTTGGCTCTTAATAAAATCTGTGAGGCCTTCTTATGGAAGAGGAGTCAGAGACATGCTGCAGAGTCTAAAGTGCTCTGCAGTCTGCACAGTGAGAAACTCAAACTCTTTTGTTTGGATGAAGAGCCTGTTTGTGGTGCTTGTCAAACTTCAGTAAAACAAGCAGAAGACAGCACAGAAGCATAACATAGGAAAATCATTTTCCTAAGAAAGAGAATAATAAATTTGAGTTTTTTTAGGTTAAATCACTTTTTTCACCATATATTAAAATTAGTTTTACAGACTAATAAATATGTTGTTTGCATTTCTAAAACCTCAACAGGCTGACATACTATATATTAAAATAAATATTGTTTTTGTGAACCATTTTGTACCTTCATTTGTTATTTTATTTTTTTTACATCAGGCTGTAATTGTGTTATACTGCTCATGTTGCTAGTTTGGATCAGTGTCAGTGAGCAGTGCTGAGCTGTACTGATAGTAAGATCTTCAGTGTTATGTTCAGGGTTCTTCATTTCAGAGATGTCAGTTCCTGCTATTCAGATGACAGGTTTCAGGTTAATTGAAATTAAAGGAATGCAGTTAATGCAGAGTTTTTTTTCTTGTGGTCCCAGACAAATTTTAATTGAGATAATTTATTAATTGTCCTATGTTGCTTGTGACCTGGAGTGAATTTCAATGTGCTTATAGGAAAATTGGCCCTGGCATGATTGTTCGCATGTGTTACCTGTGATGGACTGGCATCCCATCCAGGGCGTATACTCCCTTGTGGTCATTGCTTGTTGTGATGGGTCCCAATTCTTTCACGACCCTGTATTGCATGCATTGGCTAGATACTAAACCAACCAAAAAATCTAATCCCTGTAGTGTGACTTGATTATGGAAATAGGAGTAGTGAATTTATTTTCATACTCATTACTTTATATAGGTGCACTACCACCTTGTTGTCAGTGTGTTTCTGCAATAAACTTTGTCACTTTTTTCCAGGAGGAGATTAAGGCTGCACTGTAGCCCCTGCAAAACAAACTAGAAGTCTTAAGTAACCTTCACCACAAATATGATCAAGCTGCTGAGCACATGAAATGACATCTTTCATTTCAGTCATCGAGTGCAATATTATTTCTACTAAAACCTAAAAAAAACTGCCTAAACAGGGGTGGTGTAGTGGCTCTGTGGCGAAGAATCTGCGCCTGTGCCTGGAAGGTTGTCGGTTTGTATCTCGCAGCTGGCAGAGGGAGGAATCCTACTCCGTTTGGCCCTGAACAAGGCCCTTAACCCCAACTGCTCCAGGGGTGCTGTATAAATGGAGAGAAGCTGTGCTCTGACCCCAAGCTTCTCTCCTTGTCTGTGTGTTTCATGGAGAGCAAGTCGGGGTATGTGGAATGTCAAATTCCTAATACAAGAAATTGTACAGTGCCTTGCGAAAGTATTCGGCCCCCTTGAACTTTTCAACCTTTTGTCACATTTCAGGCTTCAAACATAAAGATATAAATTTTTTATTTTATGTGAAGAATCACCAACAAGTGGGACACAATTGTGAAGTGGAACGAAATCT